ATTATTCTAATTCATTAATTAATTATACATTTCAAAATTACATGTACTAGATTTATTACATATTTTCTTCGTGTACAACACAGTATGTGTGTAATAGAATCAGATTAAGTATAATGTATCTCTTCACAATTGTCACAAATTAACACTTTTTTTATTTTTCCGGTCTGAATCTTTGAATGTCTTGTGATGAGTGCTTTTGAGTTAAATAATGTAACAGAATTTGAAAATGTTTGCCTCAAATGCGCTGTCTCCTCTGTATCCATATGAACAATTAATTCCGACGAATGGCATTCATTTTTTCGCGTTTAGCTCCCATATGTAAATATTGATTATGATGACTTGCGTCAGGTGGTATTATCAATGGATCTTAAGGGCGTCCTATTCTTCTATCTTGCGATGTTCAGAATTAGATGACGCCTTGGTGGATTCTGTCTATTTCCTTTTCCATTCGGCGATGGTGACCATCCTCTCCTCTTTCTTGATCTTGCATATCGAAAGTGGAGGGTTACCCGATTTCCACAGAAAAAACGTTTAGGACATTATTATTTTTTGACATTGTTTTTACTTTCTTAACACGTTGATGGACAGTTTTGTGGCCGCAGTGGAAAAACAAAAGATCTTTAAAACGTCCATTTTAGTACTGCTGTAGGGTTTTATGCTATAGGGCAGTGTAAAATTCTCCACTGAGATGTCGGGGGACACAATAATCTATCCCCTCATAAGACACCATTGAAAATATCACTGCTATTTCAGTGATGACAATTTTTGGAAGGTTTTTATGATACTGCTATAGCAGTAATATTTAAGTGTCCCCCTACATCAATTTTTGAAATTACTGCTAGGTAGTACTACCCACCAACGTGTTAACAGTCTTGTCATTACCAACCTTTAATAGTTGACCTTTACTGGTCTACTATAACATGAGTGTTATCACTTCATGTTCCTCTTTTTTTTTTTTTATTCATATATATATATTATTCTAATTCATTAATTAATTATACATTTCAAAATTACATGTACTAGATTTATTACATATTTTCTTCGTGTACAACACAGTATGTGTGTAATAGAATCAGATTTAGTATAATGTATCTCTTCACAATTGTCACAAATTAACACTTTTTTTATTTTTCCGGTCTGAATCTTTGAATGTCTTGTGATGAGTGCTTTTGAGTTAAATAATGTAACAGAATTTGAAAATGTTTCCCTCAAATGCGCTGTCTCATCTGTATCCATATGAACAATTAATTCCGACGAATGGCATTCATTTTTTCCGACGTTAGGCATTAATCTTGACAGCGAGCTCACCGTTTTTGTGGCCTTCTCAGCAGCACACTGCAAATGTTTGCCGAAGCCGAGTTTTTTACATAGCTCCACTCCGAGGTAGCGGACGTGCTCCTGCAGTTGTAGCAGTGCGCCCTCCAAGATGAACCTCGGGGGAGTGTATCCGCGTTTGGTAGTTAACATGATTGCTTCCGTTTTGCCGACGGAGAGCGTAAGGCCCGTATCCTTCATCCATTTTGACACCAAGTCCAGCGTTTGGTTTATGGCCTCTTCTAGCAGAGTAGTTGTATGTCCAGTCGCTACAACTGCAACATCATCGGCGAATGCAATGAGCGTTGAACTTGATATGCCTTTTATATTTCCCGGCGTTTCCAATCGCAATAGCTCGTCATACATTATATTCCACAATAGTGGGCCGAGCACCGACCCTTGAGGAACTCCACTGGTTACCTCCCGCCGCTCCGCGTCGCCGTACAAGAGTGACCTATTACTCAGGTAACTCCTCAGAATATGCAACAGGTACGCTGGCACACTCTTCCCTCTTACTTTTTTTATTTTTCCGGTCTGAATCTTTGAATGTCTTGTGATGAGTGCTTTTGAGTTAAATAATGTAACAGAATTTGAAAATGTTTGCCTCAAATGCGCTGTCTCATCTGTATCCATATGAACAATTAATTCCGACGAATGGCATTCATTTTTTCGCGTTTAGCTCCCATTTGTAAATATTGATAATGATTATTACGATCTGTATCATGTACAAATTCTGGTTTCACAACACTATTGAATACCACATCGTCACAACTAATAAGTTGAATATTTAGTAATCTAGGACAATGTATAATATTGAGCATTGTACTGTGCATATTACTGTTATAATTGGAATTTCTTTCAGAATTATTTTTATACTTTCTAAATGGTTCCATACTGAATAATGTCCAACTTAGTTTCTCTTAATTATAGGTATTCACACTGGAAATGACTTAGCTGTTTACAAAAGATCAAATATATTCTTTTTCCATTGACCTTGAATATTTATAGGTGATATAAGTTCATTATGTAATAAGCTGTGAACTTTTACTATGTTCTTACCATACAGGAGTTTGCATCCAACTACACTACATTTTTTTTTTGCCATTATTGGCTATTTAATGTCATAATCCAAGTTGATCTGTTCAAAATGCTTCAATTTTTCTGTATTTCACAGTATTTGAAATGTGGCATGTCCTCGTAACTGGAGTTAACCACACTTCATTCACGATAAAAGAAAATAAGACGAAAAGACTCTCGACTTCTCTGTCTGGTCCGTTGCGAGGTCCTCGAAGAGGTGGCCGCACAATATGCACTCACCGTCAGTGGTCTTGGGATTTCGGCCCAAGTGACCTCGTAGTTCGTCTCGTAGGCCGTCCCAGTTAGAGCAGTTTAAGATGATGTGGTCCGCTTTGTCTGAGCCTTGAGTGTCAAATTAACACTTTTTTTATTTTTCCGGTCTGAATCTTTGAATGTCTTGTGATGAGTGCTTTTGAGTTAAATAATGTAACAGAATTTGAAAATGTTTGCCTCAAATGCGCTGTCTCCTCTGTATCCATATGAACAATTAATTCCGACGAATGGCATTCATTTTTTCGCGTTTAGCTCCCATATGTAAATATTGATTATGATGACTTGCGTCAGGTGGTATTATCAATGGATCTTAAGGGCGTCCTATTCTTCTATCTTGCGATGTTCAGAATTAGATGACGCCTTGGTGGATTCTGTCTATTTCCTTTTCCATTCGGCGATGGTGACCATCCTCTCCTCTTTCTTGATCTTGCATATCGAAAGTGGAGGGTTACCCGATTTCCACAGAAAAAACGTTTAGGACATTATTATTTTTTGACATTGTTTTTACTTTCTTAACACGTTGATGGACAGTTTTGTGGCCGCAGTGGAAAAACAAAAGATCTTTAAAACGTCCATTTTAGTACTGCTGTAGGGTTTTATGCTATAGGGCAGTGTAAAATTCTCCACTGAGATGTCGGGGGACACAATAATCTATCCCCTCATAAGACACCATTGAAAATATCACTGCTATTTCAGTGATAACAATTTTTGGAAGGTTTTTATGATACTGCTATAGCAGTAATATTTAAGTGTCCCCCGACATCAATTTTTGAAATTACTGCTAGGTAGTACTACCCACCAACGTGTTAACAGTCTTGTCATTACCAACCTTTAATAGTTGACCTTTTACTGGTCTACTATAACATGAGTGTTATCACTTCATGTTCCTCTTTTTTTTTTTTTTATTCATATATATATTATTCTAATTCATTAATTAATTATACATTTCAAAACTACATGTACTAGATTTATTACATATTTTCTTCGTGTACAACACAGTATGTGTGTAATAGAATCAGATTTAGTATAATGTATCTCTTCACAATTGTCACAAATTAACACTTTTTTTATTTTTCCGGTCTGAATCTTTGAATGTCTTGTGATGAGTGCTTTTGAGTTAAATAATGTAACAGAATTTGAAAATGTTTCCCTCAAATGCGCTGTCTCATCTGTATCCATATGAACAATTAATTCCGACGAATGGCATTCATTTTTTCGCGTTTAGCTAACATTTGTAAATATTGATTATGATTATTACGATCTGTATCGTCATGTGACCTCGTAGTTCGTCTCGTAGGCCGTCCCAGTTAGAGCAGTTTAAGATGATGTGGTCCGCTTTCTCTGAGCCACTCTGGCAGTGCATGCAGCAGTATCTAAGGGCGCATTCCATGCGGCACAGCTAACACTGAAAGCACCCGTGTCCGGTTACCACTTGCGTCAGGTGGTATTATCAATGGATCTTAAGGGCGTCCTATTCTTCTATCTTGCGATGTTCAGAATTAGATGACGCCTTGGTGGATTCTGTCTATTTCCTTTTCCATTCGGCGATGGTGACCATCCTCTCCTCTTTCTTGATCTTGCATATCGAAAGTGGAGAGTTACCCGATTTCCACAGAAAAAACGTTTATGACATTATTATTTTTTGACATTGTTTTTACTTTCTTAACACTTTGATGGACAGTTTTGTGGCCGCAGTGGAAAAACAAAAGATCTTTGAAACGTCAATTTTAGTACTGCTGTAGGGTTTTATGCTATAGGGCAGTGTAAAATTGTCCACTGAGATGTCGGCGGACACAATAATCTATCCCCTCATAAGACACCATTGAAAATATCACTGCTATTTCAGTGATGACAATTTTTGGAAGGTTTTTATGATACTGCTATAGCAGTAATATTTAAGTGTCCCCCGACATCAATTTTTGAAATTACTGCTAGGTAGTACTACCCACCAACGTGTTAACAGTCTTGTCATTACCAACCTTTAATAGTTGACCTTTTACTGGTCTTCTATAATATGAGTGTTATCCCTTCATGTTCCTCTTTTTTTTTTTTTATTCATATATATATTATTCTAATTCATTAATTAATTATACATTTCAAAATTACATGTACTAGATTTATTACATATTTTCTTCGTGTACAACACAGTATGTGTGTAATAGAATCAGATTTAGTATAATGTATCTCTTCACAATTGTCACAAATTAACACTTTTTTTATTTTTCCGGTCTGAATCTTTGAATGTCTTGTGATGAGTGCTTTTGAGTTAAATAATGTAACAGAATTTGAAAATGTTTGCCTCAAATGCGCTGTCTCATCTGTATCCATATGAACAATTAATTCCGACGAATGGCATTCATTTTTTCGCGTTTAGCTCCTATTTGTAAATATTGATAATGATTATTACGATCTGTATCATGTACAAATTCTGGTTTCACAACACTATTGAGTACCACATCATCACAACTAATAAGTGGAATATTTAGTAATCTAGGACAATGTATAGTATTGAGCATTGTACTGTGCATATTACTGTTATACTTGGAATTTCCTTCAGAATTATTTTTATACTTTCTAAATGGTTCCATACTGAATAATGTCCAACTTAGTTTCTCTTAATTATAGGTATTCACACTGTAAATGACTTAGCAGTTAGCTAATATAATGCTGATATTTCTAAACGTGTTTGTGGATTTGTGCAGATCGTTTAGTTTTGTATTTTTCCTTTTATTAATAATAGTCACGAGAACGTAAATATCTGTCACGTTAGTATGTAACAAATAACAACTACCTAATAATGAAAAAATGAAGTGAAAATGAAACTGTCAACAGTGGTCAGACAGTATATCATCATAAATGTATGTATACCATATATATGTTGGAAGCGTGTTCTTCTTATCCACCCTTACTCACTAAATGGCTTTCCACTCAAACGTGTTTTCGAGGTTAAAAATCTTGTTTTCTACCTTACCCTTTCTTTTGAAAATCATATCAATACAACTTATGGTAGAGCTCTAGTAGAGACCAGTTATGTATTGAGCGGGTTCAAAACCGATTTCTTGCCTATGCAGCTCATGTTCTAAATATTTCTCAACCTCTTCACGACTACAGTACTATTATGTCATCTTTAAATGTCTCTACTCTTTCCTCTCGTCGTTTTTATGCAGACATCGACTTTATTCACTCCTTATATTACATATCCTCTCATCGTACAAACTACAACCACAACCATCCTGTACATAGAATGCTCCACCTCCTTAACACCACCTGAAACAAAATTCCATTTTAAACTAAAAATAATATTTCTTCGTATCTTAGTTTTATTGCCATTCTTTTAATTAGGATGCTGTTCACTTCCTAGCAATTTATCTTTATGGTTATTATTAAGTTATTAGTACATTAAATTTAATTATTATTTATGTTATCAATGATTTTTACATTTATAAGATCATTTTTTATTAACTGTATATATTACCATCTATATAAATGCCGACTGGCGTCAATTAATTAAGAAATAAATAAATAAATATGTTTAATTAACGCCACATGTCAAAACGTATATTATAATATTATAATAATTTAATTTATGTAAAAATAATAAAAAAGGATATATAATATAATATCTGTTTATTATTAAGTATGTCATATCTACATTTAACTAAGTTCATATATCATAAATGTATAGTTTAATACAAAAGTTTAATAGAAGTAAAAATAATAAAATAGAATATATTTTAATGTATTATTATGTATATCACATGTATATTTAACTAACTCAATATTATATTAAAATGCATAGTTAAATATTAAAAACAATGTTACCAAAGTTAAAAAAAAGAACAGAATGTATTTTCAGGATGCTCAAAAAATGTCACGAATCACCATATCACGACAATAATCAGAGTCAAGGGGCGAATTAAATATTTTCAAAGTAGACAATAAGCAGTCTTCAATTATTATAAAAAAAAAACAAAAAATTTATACGATAACACGAAAAACACACCAAGCATTAATTTGAAAAGCAAGCAATAGATATAAGAATCAATATTACAAAATCAATTTCAAGAAAATCAATACAAGCAAGCGACCAATACTTACCATACGGCATAAAAATAAATGAAAAATAAGAATAAACTACTTCAAAACCAAATAATAAACATACCCAAAAATGGTGTTTTATTTCATTTTTGAAAAATAAAAATATAGTTTTTTAAAGAAAAAAACAGTTTAAAAAAAAATGAAATATTAACTTGGATTTTAAACTTTTTTAATCATGTTCAAAACAAGTTGTTGTATCATTTTTGTTTTGAACATCTAAAAATCCTGAACACACCTACCACCGAATGTCGAAGTTAACAAACAATTAAAGTTTACTGCTATTTGTCGAAATAAAAATATTATTCTTCAAACCGAGAACAAACTCTATGAAGACTATTTCCACTACAAAACAATTACCAATCAATAGATTTTTATAAACTTATATTCATATTTAAATTATATAGACACGCAGTAAATAATTAATAATTTATTAAAATAGTATCTATTATTATTGTATAGTCAACGGCGCGAATAAGTTGAAACCTAGTAACAAAATAAGTTAGTGCCTATAACATATATTTATACGAAAACTGGATAGCCGTATCTTTTTTTATTATCGATGTCGGTCGCCATTTATAAAGCAGGCAATGTTTACAAAATAATATTATTAAAGAAAATAAGTATAATAATGTATGTAATATAAATGTAAACATTGCCTGCCTTATAAGTAGCTGCCGACTTTAACATTGTTCAAAACTGTAGTTTAAAGACGGCTATTTAGTTGTTGTAGGGTATTTAATGAAACAATTAGACATTTTAATGTAAAAATAACCTTAAAAAAATTTGGGCATTTTTTTAAACAACGGGGACTGTCGTATATTGTGGACAATCTTCATTTTTTTATTATTTGATGTATATTATGTAATATGGTTATGTAGTATCTTAAGCTTTTAATTATTAATATACCGTCAGGCCAGTGAAGCAAAATGTGCTGAGGCGACAACAATTTTTTTTGCATTATAACATGACGATACTTGCAGGCACGTTTCGATTTATTGTTGTATTTATGTTTGTTTTATATTTAAATAAAAGTGTTTCCGACCTGAAAACCTGAGTCTTGAACATTATTTCAGTCATTTGTACGTTCTTACGTTTTATAGAAACATCGCCAGGAAGCTACCTACTATATTTGCTAAAGAGGTTTTATTAAACTGAATAGTGCAACGGTGTATGTAATCTTTGAGTCTTTCATGTTTAGATATCATGTAAACTATTTCCAAAACTGTTAAATGTAATGATATCATTAATTCGGCATAATATATAAAATATTAACTCGATGTACAACAACTCAGGAATATTAGATAATATATAGATAATAATAGATCACTAATATTTGCACGGTGAATCCAATTCCCAACCAATTCTAGCAGAGCTATAACACCACTACACTTTCACATTACACCTAAATTGAGCTTAATAAATCAGGTAAGGTAACCCGGTCAAGCTTAATTATTATACTTACCCAGCCATAACAAACGCAGTTGTAACAAAATATCTTTTTAAAAGTAATTTGAATTGTGTACCTAACGCATTATTTTCGGTGTAATAGCGAAAACAGTTTTAATACAAATAATTCATGAATGACAATATGTCAAAACGCATGAGAAGCTTTTATATTCGAGAAAAAAATAAAATTTAATTCAAATCAATTATGACTTTCGTAAACCAAAGTAATTAATAATATTATTATATTGCATTTATTTCTAATATATTTACCTCAATCTTATGGTGGTCTCCGAGTACTATAAAGTTATCTATATAATATTTATGATAAAGAAAAACTATTAATAAATTGGTTCCGTCTATAAAAAAGGTAACATACTAATTTATTGGGTCTGACTATAAAAACGATACACACTAGTTAGGTCCAACTATAAAAAAATTGTAACTTACAAGTATTGATATACGATATTGTAAAAAGCTTTTTAAATTATAGTTCATATATAAAAATACATTGCCAGTTTCCACTCAATATCAGTACAGTTGCAGATGTTAAACTTTATACAAATTACATTTTATTCTAGTTGTACACTCGTAGGTTTGTACCTACATTCTGTTTGAAATTTAAAAAGTGTATGTAATGAATAATGATTAGTTACCAACGGATTTAAATTTTCATTTCACAAAAGTCTATCAAACGATGTTGAACGATGGGGCTGAGTATAATGATCTTGTAAGTCATTTTTTAAATGTAAAAACAAAATATTTATTGATGAATCATTATTACATAACCTAACGAGGGTAGTATACTTCACAGACAAGCGAATAGTAATTGTTTCAAAAAAAGTATTAGAAGGTTTTTGCGAAAGGCCATCCATTGTAAATTAAAAAAATGATGTTCAAAATTAAACGCATAAGGTTGGTATTCTAATTTTAAAAAAGCTATACAGCCAAACATTTCAAAAAGACGTTTGACGTTAAGAGGCCTAGTCGCGACTTTTCAAATTTTCCGCAATTCTATAAAATTTGAAAATTAAATTTTATATTTTAGTTGCCACCTCAATTATAAGACTTTTCCACTAATCTACTACCCAATACCTATTTAGGGGGGGGGGGGTTGATAGGGTGTATTATATCGGTCAAAACACAGTTTACAGGAAAAACTCTCACACCTCGTAGATTGGTCCGATTTCAGTAATTTTTTTGTTATATAGAAGAATATTTTTTACAGGGCGCATTGGACTTTGATTTTTGATTACGTTGCTAAAAATAAATAATAATACAAAAACTAAAAAGTTGTAAAAATGGATTAAATTCAAACTTGTAATTTAAGATTTCGAAAAATAAATTTGAAAATCCAAGTCCAATGCGCCCTGCAATACGTCTTTCTCTATTTAACAAAAAAAAAATTACGGAAATTGGACCAATGTGAGAGTTTTTCCTGTAAGGCATGTTTTTGAGCAAAAAACAGGTCACGACCAGGCCCCTTAAAGTTATGTATAATGTTCTTAATGTAGTTAAGATGGTAAGTATTAAAAGATTTAAACTTACAATGAATCGAGAAGAACATTTATTTTTACTTAATAGTAAAGCTAGTATTATTATAATTTTCTTTATAGTAAAAAACTTAAGATTTGTATCATAAAAAATTAACAAACATTTGTTGGGTAAAATAAATAGATTTGACTCCCCAAAAGCACTTTTATTTAAATTTTTACCAACCGTGTGAATTTTTTAAATATTTTTTAACATTTTATAGTTTATACCATAAACCAGTGTACTAATATTCAATAAACTTTAGTTATTACTGACTATAATATATTGGAAACTTAAGAGGACGTCACACCCACATGTATTGTCTCCGTCTTACACACGTACGGCATAGACTAAGCGTTTACTCAGTCTGAGTATTACTCACTCAATTTTGGTTCTAGAGTAAAAATTCCTGTTGTAAAGTTGAATTTTTAAATTATTTCTGAGGCAAGTCGTTGCGTTTTTTTTTCAATTATACATAATATAACGTACATTATATCGTTTAGAAAATGCAAAA